AACCCATAGACATGGCTGCAGACAAAACATGGTACACTAAGCTTGGTCTTATTAAGGATGCTGAAGCGGTTCTGCAACCTGTCTCAAACTCCTCTCAGCTAGAGTACACAAGTGGTCCTTCCTATCAAGAGACTGCCAGGAGACACACCCAGCCATGGCCCTGGAGGCAGGCCTACAGATCTTGGCCTTAGCTATGGTCCCTGCAGCAGCCATGTGACTCAGTTCTAGCCCTCACAGTCACAGTCCATGGCCAGTTGTACATACTCACGGACTCAGAGAGACCTGTGAAAACTGTTCCCCAGTAGTCAGTAGAAGCCAAACCCATTCATACACCTGGTACTTGGCCTATCATGTGCAGAAAAACTTCAAAACCCTACCTTACTGCCTGCCATACAGATAATGTCCTCAAGGAAATTTAATCTTTCCAGGACCTAGAAAGAATCCATGACTGTCCAAATCTCTGGTAACACAACCATCAAAAGCAGAGGTAATCTCATCAGCATGAGGACAGAACAAAAGGAGTTCTTTACCTGCCAAATTGTAATCATTGTTAGATCCTTCAAATGTACAGACACAGGGCTGCTTCAGAGACCACAGCTGAGGCCAAGATCTGCAGGCCTGCTCCAGGGCCACAACTTCTATCTTAGCATATTACTAAAAACTTGTATGAGAACAATTAGGCAAGGAAAAGGACTGAACAAAGCTCTCCAGCTTTGGAAAAGAAATAAAAACATTACTGCTGTTTGGAGATTATATAATCATGCCTATATATGTGTGTATATATATACATATAACTCTAGAGTAAATAAACAAAAACTCAATAAATGTATTCATTAAAGCATCAGGATACATAATCTTGTGAAAGGAAAATAAATCTTGGAACTCTTAGGGCCCCCAAAATCACTAAGCTAAACCGTCAAGCTGGGAACTGCCTAGGGCAAACCTGCCTCCCATTCTATTCAAAGTCATCCCTCTGCTCACTGAGATAAATGGACATCTGATTGCCTCCTTTGGACAGGCAAATCAGAAACTCAAAAGAATACAGCAGTCTCTCTCTCATGTACTGTGACCTAGAAACCCCATCCCTTGCTTGAGTTGTCCTGCCTTTCAGGATGGAACCAATGTACATCTTATATAGATTGACTTATGTCTCATGTCTCCTTAAAATGTATAAAACCAAGCTGTGCCCAAACCACCTTGGGTACATGTCATCAAGACTTCCTAAGGCTGTGTCAGGGGCATGTGTCCTCAACCTTGACAAAATAAACTTTTTTTCTTTCTTTTTCTTTTCCTTTTTTTTTTGAGACAGAGTCTTGCTCTGTCGTCAGGCTGGAGTGCAGTGGTGCAATCTCAGTTCACTGTAATTTCCACCTCCTGGGATCAAGCGATTCTCCTGCCTCAGCCTCCCAAGTAGCTGGGACTATAGGTGCGTGCCACCACGCCCCGCTATTTTTTGTGTTTTTAGTAGAGATGGGGTTTCACCATGTTGGCCAGGATGGTCTCGATCTCTTGATCCACCAGCCTCGGCCTCCCAAAGTCCTAGGATTACGGTCATGAGCCACCGTGCCTGGCCAGCAAAATAAACTTTCCACATTAACTGAGACCCGTCTCAGATTTTTGGAGTTAATACTCTATTGCCCAGGTTCATCTTAAACTCCTATGCTCAAGTGATCCACCAGCCTTGGCCTCTGAAAGTACTGGGATTACAGAAATGAGTCACTGGACCTGGCCCAACATAAAAATATTTGTTGCATTTCCAAATAGTAACAACAAACCTTCCAAAAAAGGGAAGAAACAATTTTCATTTGCAATAGTGTAAATATAAAAAATGTAATCAAAGTAAATTTAACCAATGAAATATGTATACACTAAATACAATAAGATATTAATGACAGAAATTGCAGTAGACACAAATAAATAGAAACCTATTTCATTAGAATAACTAATATTGTCAAAGTACCATATTATCATAAGTTATCTATATTCAATGTGAAAATTTTAGTGTCATTTTTCACAGTAATAGAAAACACAATTGTAAAACTTAAGTATAACCTTAAACAACTTTAACATTGATTGGCTGGGCACGGTGGCTCACACCTGTAATCCCAGCACTTTGGGAGGCCGAGATGGGTGGATCACGAGGTCAGATAGAGACCATCCTGGCTAACATGGTGAAACCCTGTCTCTACTAAAAATATAAAAACAAAATTAGCCGGGCATGGTGGCGAGTGCCTGTAGTCCCAGCTACCCAGGAGGCTGAGGCAGGAGAATGGGGTGAACCTGAGATGCGGAGCTTGCAGTGAGTGGATATCACGCCACTGCACTCCAGCCTGGGTGACAGTGAGGCTCCCCGTCTCAAAAACAAAACAAAACAAACAAAAAAAACTTTAACATTGATTGATGGTGATTGTTAGTGCCTGAGGGTGGAAAGTAAGGAGATGTTCAAAGAATACCAATTTTTAGTTATAAGTTGAGTAACTCTGAAAAATCTAAAGTACATTAGCATTAGATCAGCAAAATAGCATTGTTTATAGTTAGTAACACTGTAATGTATGCTTACAATTTGCTACAACAGTAGACTTTAAGTGTTCTTACTACAAAAAAATTGGTTATCTACCTGAGGTAATAGATGTGTTCATCAACTTGACTATATTTTATTTTACAACGTATATACATATCAAATCATTACACTGTACACATTAAGTTATACAATTTTTATTTATCAGAAAAATCCAGGTCGCACAGAGATGTACAGTAAGCCCTCACTTTATGTTCAAAATAGGTTCTTGAAAACTGCATCTTTAAATGAACAATGTTGCTATATGTCATGTAAACATATCTCTTGTATTAATTAAACTCTGGTAAAATTAGTTTTCTTAATATGTTGCTTTGCTTACTGTTTCCAAGAACCTATCAGCAAAGTTAAGTAAGAATTTATTATACACATATAAAACTTACATAGGTGTTTGTGTGTGTGAAACACACATTTTTATATATAGATAGATCTCAAAAACAGAATTTCGTACCCTATAAAATAAGACAAAATTAAAGATAATATGTATTAAGAATAATATGTAACAATTTGAGAGTTAATATACACTTAGCGATGTGCCTAAGCTGGTTAAGACACAGCGGCATTTAAGAAATTCAGGCCGGCGCGGTGGCTTCAGCCTGTATCCCGCACTTTTGGGAGGCCGAGACGGGCAGGATCACGAGTTCAGGATCGAGACCACCTGGCTGACACGGCTTGAACCCCGTCTCTACTAAGAAATACAAAAAAAAAAAAGCCGGGCGAGGTGGCGGGCGCCTGTAGTCCCAGCTACTCGGGGCTGAGGCAGGAGAATGGCGGAACCATGAGGGCGGAGCTTGCCAGTGAGCCGAGATCCGGTCACTGCGCCCCCAGCCTGGCCACAGGAGGCAGAGACTCCGTCTCCCAAAAAAAAAAAAAAAAAAAAGAAATTCGATGGCTGGCCAACCCTTTGAATGTTAGGACATTTTTACTATTCTGTGGGTGGTGGATTATCACAAAAATTATTTGCAAACCCTTTTTCTTTTTTTCTAAATGCTCATCGTCAGCTATTATTTGATGTTAGCATAATTTTATTATTTTTATTATTTTATTTGTTTTTAGCACGGAGTGTTGCTCTGTTGCCCAGGGCTGGGGTGGCCTGGTGCAACGATCTATCAGGCTCACCGCAACTTCACCTCCTGGGGTCAAGGCAATTCTCCTACCTTTAAGGCCTCCCAAGTAGGCTTGGATTACAGGCATGCACCACCCATGCCCAGTCTAATTTTTTGTATTTTATTAGATAGGAGATGGGTTTCACCCATGCTTGCCAGCTGGTCACTACTCCTGACCTCCATGATCTGCCTGCCTCGGTCTCCCAAAGTGCTGGGATACAGCGTGTGGAGCCACCATGCCCGGCCATGTTACTGTATTTATGTGTGGCCAAGACATTTGTTCTTCCAATGTGGTGGATCCAAGGAAGCCAAAGGTTGAAAAACCCATTGCTTTAAAAAATTTGGAAAACTTGCAAAGATAAGAGTTTAAATTACCCAAATCTCAGTTTATATTAAAACAATTAACATTTGAGTTAAAATAAAATTGACATTTTTTTCATATTTAGGTGAAAAATGCTTATTGTTCTGATAAAATTGCTTGAGTAAGAATTTTTTCTTGATAGAATTACATTTCAAACCTCTATAGGAATTAAAAATCCACCCAAGCAGAACGAAGATGCAAGCATCTGTCCCTGAGTGTTCTTCTGGATTTCCTGAACCAGAATGCCCATATGGTCCACCTACTCACTCTACACACATTTTAGAATGATCAATCCATGAAAAAAACAAAAAACAAAAAAACTTTAACATAGAGCTCTTCAATCATACAAATATTCCCAGGTCCCCAAAAGCAATGAACAGCAGTCAGACCATGCAGCCCTTTGTAAGTAATAAAGTGGACACCGGCTCTCCCTGTAAACTTGAAGGGAGATACGAAAGGAAAAACAGAACTCTTGGATTTAAGAGCATGGGACATAAGATGACCCTATGAGAAAAAATGCAGCCTTTTTGGAAATTATTCTGTCACAGAGCTTCCCAAACTACATTTATTTACTTATTTATTTTTTGCAATGGAGTCTAGCTCAATACTGCCCAGGCTGGAGTGCAGTGGCGTGATCTCAGCTGAGCATAACCTCTGCCTCCTGGGTTTTTAAACAATTCTCTCTGCCTCAGCATCCTGAGTAGCTGGGATTACAGGCACAAGCCACCACACCCAGCTAATTTTTGTATTTTTAGCAGAGACAGGGTTTCACTATATTGGTTAGGCTGGTCTTGAACTCCTGATCTCAGGTGATCCACCTGCCTCGGCCTCCCAAAGTGCTGGGATTACAGGCATGAGCCACAGGGCTCAGCCTCCCAAACTACATTTTAAGGCCTGGCTTCCTTCTTGACTTTTGGTCTCCTTGCCTGTGTCCTCTCCTCCATTCACTCTCACCTACCTGAGGGTCTGGCTGCTGTCTGATGTATCTTGAAATTGTAGAGCTCTTTTCTTTGCTCCAGACAGCTGACCAGGTCTGG